TACCCTGTGACTGCAGTTCAAATTACTCACTATCTACACACACATTATTGTATTACCGTCACGTTGTCACCCTCTTTTATATACCAGACTACCCTAAATCTAGTAAATACTAGAGCATTCGCCAAGGTACAGGATAGTTCTAGAAGATAGGTGGCGCCACACCAGTCACGTGATCTCGATGACGCAACACTGCCCCCTCCTTAATATTTAGAGCATTCGCCAAAGTACAGGATAGTTCTAGAAAATAGGTGGCGCCACACCAGTCACGTGACCTCGATGACGCAACAGTACGTTAAAATTCGCGCAAAAGTAAACTAGGCTACCTGCTCTCGCGGTCCTTCTATTCTTAATAAGATTAGAATGGAGACCGCTACACAACACCACCCACCAACCCGACAACTTCTGGACTACTCCTGTCGGACCAAATAGTAGTATTTAACCGAAATTAATATACGCACGCTATGATCCCAAAGTGCAAAAGTGATTTTGTTTGTGTGTTTGTAATAATGGGAAACAAACCAAGGAAACATAGTTCTACCGTACGGCACGCTAACCACTTGACCGCGCTCGGCCATGCTAAGTTTGCCCAATAAAAAAAACGAAAAGTGTGAATAAAATGACTAAATACAAAAATATGTTCCTTCAATATATTTTTTCGTTTACTGTTACGACCTTAAATCTCTATTAGTTTGGGGTCGGGTGGTATTTTTGGATGTCAAGAATTTTTGCACCTGGGTGGCAGGCTAAGTTGGCAACCATACAAGATGAGCATGAAGATTTTTGTTATAATGTTAACTGATGAAAAAAACAAACAATTTAAACTGTTTAGTCCTATTCATAAAATCTTATCAAATATTCAGAACAGACCATTACCGAGTTTTAAACTAGGCCGTGGCCACTTGTATGATTAGCCGGGTGAAAAGAAGTGTTCGACCGATCAGTAATTATTTGTTTATTGAAAAATATGAAATAAAGAATATAAGTGTATTTTTTAATATTATTGCTCGGAAAGCTCCATTCTATACATCCAGTTAAGTCTACCTTGTTTTATTTTCATCAATTATTTGTATTTGTAAGTTATCTTTACTTATTGAAGCAGTTATGTAGCCGCAAAAATGGCATGGAAAACCCATCAACATTGAAATCTTTGAGCGATATAATTTCAACTTGCACTCGTGTCCTAGGCCAACATTGATATAAGTGCTATTTTTAAACTGTATTTTTGTCAAGCTCAATTTCTATTTAATAATTAAAGTTTGCTTTTAATAAGTAAGTTAGGAGTTCTGTGATGGTAAACTAAGCAGATAAAAAAAACCTTGTTTATTTGTGTGAATTAGTAAATTTATTATTACTCAAACAATACACATACATACTCACTGACCCTAAATATCCTTACTTATATCTTCTCATATAAGAATATTCTTAATGAATCTAAGTTCCAAATGGACAGCAACTGCCTCTACATTTGTAGGTTCCTACAACAGGCAGTTGCTGTCCATTTG